ACGGCGCGTCGCCCGCGGGACTCACCGCGCGTGTCCTGGGGGCCGCGGCGCGCCGGGTCCCGCCCGCGACGGCCGGGGTGCCGCGGGGCTGGGCGCCGTGCCCTGCGCCCTGCTGGGGTCCCTGCCCGGGCGCGGGGCTGCTTCCCCTGCTCCGGAAAGGTGAGCGGCTCCCCAGAGGAGCCGCAACCTGAGCTGGAGGAGGAGGAGGAGGAGGAGGAGGGAGAAGGGGAGGGGAAGGGAGGGTTGGAGGAAGGTGGGGAAAAGGAGGGAGGGGGAGGAGGAGGAGGAGGAAGGGAAAAACCCGGCCCCCGCCAGAGTTTTTCACGTGTACAAGTTGACTCCTCCCCCGTGCCTCCAGCCCTGCCCACAGCCGCTGCCAATCCCCAGGGCTCCCTCTGCCCGAGTGCCCACCCCTTTCTCCCACTCTGGGAACCAGGGTCCAAGTGCTTCTTCCGGTTTCGTTCCTTAGGCCTGGCCTCTGCCAGCCCTCTGGGGCTGGCCGGGTTAACCCCGACTAGGCGATGAGACCCTCTGGACTGGAGCACCCCAGGACTGGGGCCAGACCACCACCGGTGATTTGCTGACAGTGCTTTTCTGGAAAGGTAGCTTTCCCACCGAGGCTGATCCTGGATCCCAGCCCCTGGCATCCCAGGAGCTAATGTGCAAAGACTGATCCTGTTGGCTCCGTTTGCCTTTTGCGTTCTTGGCAACAGTAGCCCTAGGGCTCTCCCTCCGGTGGGACTTGTCACTAACGTTTTGGGACAAAACTCCCACCTGGTTTCCCCACCTCTCCAGGGCCTGAATGAAGCTTCCCTACTAGTCATCACCGCCACTTCCTACCCGGGAGGGTAATTCAGTTTGTCCTTTTGGAATGAAACTCTGCAGGCCGACTGAGATTCATCCAGGAACCCTTACAGAATAGCCAGTGCCGGTCCCGCTTTCATTTTACAGAAGGGGAAACTGAGGCCCAGAAAGGTGATTGGACTGGCCTACAGTTCCACAGAGTCAGAGACAAACCATGATTGGGACTCAAGCCAATGACCACACCATCTAACTTCAGGGATCGAAGGAAAACTGGGATGGAGTGAAGGGCACACCTGTCCCATCTGGGCCCCGCCCAGCCCTGCTTCCTTGTGGGGGCTATCAGAGAGCAGGTGGTACCTCAGACCGTAGGGGCACCGAATCAGAGAGATCTGTGTCCTCGGCCTTGCCAGTGGGCGTGGCCTTTACAGTCTGGGGGTCTTCACAGGGGGTGGGGGGGCTCTTGAGGAGGGTGGTCCACAGTGTGGATGTGTTTCCTTTCTGGAGGACATGGGCCTACCTACCGTCTGCCCCCCAACACCAGCCCGCATCCAGCCGGCAACACGGATCTCTCCAGACTCCATGGGGGCTGGAGATGGCAGAAAGAAGGAAGACCCTGGTTCCTTGCAGTAGAGTGACTTGCGGGTCGTCAGCGGGAAAACCACAAAGGGCGTCCCCACTCTGCCACCTGTTTTCTCTGCCAGGGCATGAGATTTCCTGGGCATGTGCACTTTAGGAAGAGAAAACTGCCTGGTGCCGAAGGGGTGCAAAAAGTGGATGGATCCATAGCCTCCAGGCTATGGGAACAGCCAGCTGCCTGGCTCCATAATCCATGTGTATGATAACACAGGGGGCAGAGAGGCCATGCAGAGGCAGGGAAGGGACAGGGAGGGCAGGGGAGAGGGCTATGGCTAAAGAACTGTGCATACTGGAGGGTTCAAGAGAACGGGGCCAAGCTAGAGTTTCAAGGAACCAGGGGAATGGATGGGGTCGAGAGGTTTCAACAAAAGTTTTCTGAACATTTCTTATATGCCAAATAATAGCCAGAATTCCGGGCACCAAAGATGGATGGAACACAGGCCCTGCCCTCCGGGAGCTTGCGATCTAGATCTGGGTTGTCTATCTAACCCAGGTTAGAGCTGCGGCTGCCTGGAGAGTTTGTTTTGCTGCTTGAGCTGAAGGTCCAGGGATAAGAGGACAGTGGAAGGCAGGAGGGGGGTTCCGTTTTCTCAGGAAGGGTAACACCTGTGCAGACTTCAGGGGTGAGAGGCCAGAGCTTAGAGTTGCCGGGGCTAGAGGTGATGTGCTAGAAGGAGGCAGGTGCTGGGTTCTGAAGACCCTCCTAACATTCGCCCTGTCCCGAAACTACGGGGCAAAGTGGAACATGTCAGAGGAAAGAGAAATCACCAGGTCTGTGATATAGGATGATCCCTTGGACAGCCAAGTGGAGGCTTGACAGTGGGATAAAATCTGGAGGTAGAACCCCCAATTTGCCCAATTTGCAGGCTGATCCTGATGATGAATGTCGCAGGCTTAGACTGGGGCAGTGGCAGCAGGGACAGAGGAGGGGGCTGACTTGAGAGACGGTTTGGGAGCCAGGATCATGGAATTTTGTGCCTATTTGAGTCTAGGAGATAAGGGAGCAAAGAATGTCAAGGTTGGAGCCCCTGGTGTGATAGACCAAGCTAGAAGCTTCTTCGGGTTGCCTTGATTCATACAACCTCCTTTTATTGGTTGTGTGACCTTGGGCAAATGACAACCTTCCGGAGCCTCGTTTTGCAATCTGTAAAACAAAGATACTGAAATCGATCTTGCGTGGTCATTGTATATATTAAAGATAATGTATGCCAAAGCGTAGGGCTTAACTCGTAACAGGAATTCAATAAATAGTAGATGTAATTATGATTGTTTCTCCTTTCCACAAACATTTGTTGAGCACCTGATATGTGCCACGGATTGTCCTAGATCTTTGGGACGTAAGTCTCATTCCCTAGTCACGTGTAGCTCACCATCTAGTGGGAGAGAGCTATGCAGAGGATAGCCATATAGCCAAGCAATACGGGCTGGTATGGGCTGGGGCAGAGGAGGAAACTGTGCCCAAAGAATCAAGGACAACTTCACCGAGGAGAGATGACAGCTTAAACCACGTAGGGCCAGCTATCGGCTCAGAGGCTATCCTATCGCCCCCGTCTCCCAGACAATGGATTGTGTTTCAGAATCTGAAATGTTCCGTTTTGAAGGCATTTGACATGCTCCTCGGGGTTGGGAGAAGGGGGTGGACTACAGATGAGTGTCTATATGGACCCAGGGAGTGGTACATAGAACCTTGGCAACCCCAGGGCAGGGCATGAGCAGATGGGCAGACAGAAGAGGGGAACCAGGTAAGCGTGAACGTGGGCACGTGGCTGGAGCTTGCTAGCTGGGTAGGAGCCTATATGTGTGTGCACTTGGGCCGTCCTGATTTTTCTGCTCCCTGTCTGTACCCTTCTAAAAATTCCTTGCAAAACCATTTGGTGTCCTCAGCCTGCCTCCCATGCCAATTTTCTTTCCATCCATCTCTTAACGAGCCCAGCTTGGTAGAAGCCGCGCTCCCTGGTCCTCCACTAAGGAAGGACTCCTGCCTTGCTGTCCCACCAACCAAGACTCTGGGCTTTCCAGCTAGATGGACTGTTACATCTCCGATTTTCCCATCTGTGACATGGAGATAGTAACAGTCCCCTTCTCGTGGAGCCGTTGTGAGGTTTCAATGTGACGTGAAACTTGGTGGACAGGGGATGCTTATTTCCCTTCTGTGCCCAGTAACTGCATCCTTGCAGAGGGTCAGACGAGACTGTCAGCTGGGGATGTCCCCTGGCACACCGGCCTCTGGGGCCCCACGCTATAGGCCTTCCCCTCTGCTGGCCTAAATGGCATCCCTGGGTGGCCCTGGTCACCCTAGGGTATAGTGCTGGCAGGATGACAGTGGGGGCCCAGCAGCGGCCCAGCCCACTCTCCCACTCCAATCCTGTCTCTCCTCCCTGCTGCCGATCACATGCCACTGCTCTGCAGATAGGACAGGCGTCCCTGGGCGCCCGAGGGCTGGCGGGGAAGCTGGAAACAGCTCTCCCTCACAGACTGTGTGGGCAGTGCATTCGAATAGCTTCTGAAAAACCAAAGTTCAAGCCCGCCCTACTTTCCCCTGGGAGGCTCAGCATCCAGACAGGGAGACCAGCCAACGGAGAATCTCCTTTCTGCACGTTGCTGCAAACTCTCCTCCCTTCTGGTGCTACCCACACATGCGACACAGTCTCCAAAAGCACTGCAGGGACACTTGGGAGGCCCGGAGACCCGACTCTGCCCCTAAGGTGCCAAGAGCCGTTTCGTTTATCTGGGCCTCAGTTTGCCTCCTCTGAATAATGGGGAATGATGTGAGTGCTGCCGCTCCGGAGGGTTAAATGAGAGTGTGAATGCGAAAGTTTACTTTGTGAAAACACCTGCCTGTGTATGAGATCATTGGTGTTTGGCCAAAGAGACCTTCTTAGGGTTCTCAGGAGACAAGTGAAGACAAGAGAAATGGGAAACTCAGAACAGAGAGAAGTCTTCCCCAAGGACGTCTGTGACCTCAGCAGGAGGAGGGAGAATGGCAACACGGAGCCTGGCCCATGGACCACCCCGCTGTGGGCTAGCTCCTTACGAGTGTGTGAGTCCGTAGGGGCGGCAGGACGTGGCCTTGGTCAGCCGATGCTTACTCCTCCCCTGAAGAAACTCAGACCATTGTTTTCCAGTGACTTATGGAGAGTGAGGGTGACTAGGGTCAGTGTCATTTACCTGGTTCCAGTGTGATGCCACTACAGAGCCCGGGAGCTGCCACTTTGTCACTGCACCAAGCATCACGTCCTCTCCTCACTGCTTGTGCTAAATGCACGGGCACGCATGTACTCGTGCGTGTGTGTGAACACACACACACGCACACACACCCCATGCACAACCACTCCAGACTTCCGATGGAACAACAGCTGCGTCCCCAGAAGGTTCTAGAACAGGGTAGGCATGTAAACAGAGTAAGCCAATCACAGCCCTGTTGACCCTAGCAACCATCAACCCGATTAGAACCCCCACCCCCACCCCGAGTCCGGCAGTGCCTCCCAAACACACCATATACACACACAACCTTCAGGTTGCTGCATTGCCATGGCAACGAAACCATCACACAAAGCAGGGAAAATGGGAAAGTGGCCCTTAGCAACAAGACCGGACCAGTCATTGGGGTGAGCATGCCAGCAGCACTGGCTAGCGTGAGGTCACGGTGCGGAGAGGGTCCCCATGCAGGGAGGGGAGGAAAAGAGGGCTGGTGTGTCTGGACTTCGAAGCCCAGTTTTTAGCCCTGGGCCTCCGCTCGCTCACCTTTGACCTGTAGGGTCACAGACGCCTTCTTGTATTTTAGTGTATCCCCAGTGTGTGCCTGTATTATCGCGTTGCAATTACTTTTTAACCAATAAATAAGGATAGGAACTATAGATGATCTTTTCAGAAAACCTCCAGAATGTTGAGACTCCTGGGGAAAAGAAGACTTCCGATTGATCCTCAGAGAGACCCTAAAATCCAGCTCGTGAGCTCCTCGTAGAGTTGGGCCTCGATTCAGTTTGTAAACATTTCCTTGGTATCTACCCTGTGCCAGGCCGGGTCAGCCAGGCCCTGACTTCAGCCGTGGCCGGGTGGGCTGGGCGGGGCCTGCAGAACGTGTCGGTGGTGAGAGCGTCCTGGAGGTCTGTCGGGCGGGTCTGGAGCAGGTGCTTATACGAACAGCAGGCTGCCTGGAGGAGATTTTGCTCCGGGCCAAGGGAGAGGGCTGAAGCTGGGACCCTGCGGGCCCCCTTGGCGAACTGGCTTCTCACGTCCATACCTCATCATCCTCCCTTCAGCCAGCTACCAGAGAGACCTTAATTCAAAATGAAAATTTGACAATGGGCTCCTCTGCCCAGCTTCTTCTTCCCGTGGCTCCCCAACAGCCTTGGGTCCCCTCCTTCAGAATCTGACGACAGCTGAGAGACTCCCTTCCTAGCATCCAAAACATACATGCCCAGCATTTTCCATTCATTTTGGGGAGCTACGGGCCTCTTCAAGCTCCTTCATGGACTTGATTGGGGGGGAATAGCATGTGAAGGCCCGTGCAGCCAGCCTCTGCCTCCCTCATCAGCTCACTTGGCTTGCCCCGCCCCCGCCCCCGGTATATAACAGGCCACACCAAACAATGTGCACTCCCCTTGCGGGCACCGCCATACTGGCCTGCTTCATGCCTTTGTGCCTGTGTTCCCACCAACTGGAGAGGCCTCTTCCTTCACCTGTTACCTGGTAAACTCCTATTCATGCTTCAAAACCCTGTTCAGGAGTCAACACCTCATAGTTTTTGATGCTGACCAGACAGACTTGATCACTCCGTGGTCTGAAGTACTCTCATTACCTGTCTCCCACTACATGGGGGATCTGTGTCTGTCTTCTTTATCGAGCTTTGAGTTTCCTGAGGCCACACACCACTTCTTAGCCTTTATGTCCCTAGTTCCTAGCATGTAATAGGTCTGGGGAACCAAAATAGCAGGACCAAGTTGGCAGAGGAAACAGAGCTGACAAAGGAGGAAAATAAGCAGACGGGAAGTTAGGACAGGAGCCAGGAGAAGAGAGGCTATCAAGGAGGAAAGAGGCATCAGAAGCTCGAGGTCAAAATGGTTAAGGACTGAAAGGCATCACT